GAGGGAAATAAATCATAGGCCATGTGATGTCCTCGAACGTTAGGTCTAACTTAAATGAGTTATTAGGTTAGTTGAGATAACTTAAGGTCCAATAAACTTGTAGGCAAGGATTGATATTCACATAAGATGTGATATGACAAGGAGTTGTCATGCCAATGATATTAAGAATTACATTAGATGTAATTGGTAAGGAGTTACCTACCTAATAATTCAAGTATCACTTGTTAAGATAACTCAAGGTTAATACATGTTAGAGGATGGGATTTCATTCACTAAGAAAACGAATCAAAAAGTTTTCTCGAGTCCTATATTGAAGGTTATAAAACTTTAAAAAAATAATAGGAGATAACATAGACTTTACTTCTTTGATTTATTCTTTGTTTTATTTTTATGCAATTTAATTAACTAAACCATACGCTTTTCTATCATGTCAAGGTTGTTGCACGGTATGATCGGTAATACATCGATGAGATCGATGATTAATGAAAGTAATGTCCGAAATAGCGTAAACTTCTTTGGTTAGAAAATGAATAAGAGGAATATCCTCCAATATAGAAAAAAGCTCTATGCGATAGATGATAAGGAGTACCATGAATCGGTGCAAAAGAAGAGTTTTGATAGCATCTCAAGTATTCATGTTATTAAAGAAAAATTTTTGACTTCTAGTCCCACATCATGGGTAATTGACACTAGATGTGGTGTGTAAATTTGCATAAATTTAAAAAGACTAAATGAGGTTAGAAAGACTAGCTGTCGGTGAGGTTGACTTTTGCATGAGTAATAGTTCAAGAGTTGTACCATTAGCAATAGGCACCTATGAGTTAGCAATACCATCGGGACTTATGCTTATACTCGAAACTATTATTATATTCCTAGTATAACTAGGAATATCATTTTCTTTTTTTGTTTGGATCAAGATGGTTTTTCATTTTTATTTAAGAACAAAAGTTATTTATTTTGTAAAGATGATATTTTATATGAAAATGCTAATGTGAATGGCGGTTTATATGTTCTAAACATAGACACACCTATCTATAACATATATGCGAAAATACTTAAAACTAATGATCTAAATAGTACCTATCCGTGGCATTGTCGACTTGGTCATATAAATGAAAATTGCATATTCAAACTACATAAAAATGGATATTTAAAACCATTTGATTATAAATCTTATGATGTTTGTAAATCTTGTTTGCTTAAAAAAATGACGAAATCCCCTTTTAGTGGAAAAGATGAAAAAGTTATTGATTTGTTAGGTATCATACATAATGATGTATGTAGGCCTATGTCCACCCAAGCTAGAGGAGGATATAATTATTTCATAACCTTTATCGATAATAGATCATGTTTTGATTATATGTATCTCATGCTATACAAATCGAAGTGTTTGAAAAGTTCAAAGAGTTTAAGTTTCAAGTTGAGAAACAAATAGGAAAAAGTATTAAGGCTCTTTGATCGGATCGAGATAGAGCACACTTAAGCGTTGAATTTTTAGATCATTTAAAAGAAAATATGATTCTTTCATAATGGACTCCACTTGGAACACCACAAATGAATGGTGTGTTCGAAAGGAGGAATAGAGCAATCGCTAGATATGGTGTGATCTATGATGAGTTAAACTAATATCCCAATTTCATTTTGGAGATATACACTCTTTACTATAACATTTATTTTAAGCGGGGTTCCAGCAAAGTTTGTTGATCGGACTCCATATAAGATATGAAAAAGAAGGAAACAAATTTTTTTTCCTTAAGATTTGGGGTTGTGAAGCATATGTCAAACGTTTAGATGGATATAAAATTGAGCCTAAATCAGTAAAATATAAATTTATGGGATATCCAAAAGAAACATATGAATATTACTTTTACCAACCATAAGAACAAAAAGTGTTCATAGCTAGGCATGATGTATTCCTTAAGAAGGAATTTATAAGTGCTAAAACCAAATTTGTTGCCCCTAAAGATAAAGATGAATGGTTTAAAAATAAAGATCAAAATCCCACATATAAAATAACTCCTAATCCTTGGAGGATTAGGAAGCAACAACCATAAATCCAATTAGGACTTAGTTACCGCCCCTCTTCTTGTCCTTAGAGGATAAGAAAACTCTTCTCCTATAAATAGGAGGAGAGGTATGGCATAAAAAAAAGTTTTTGGGGAGAGAAAATTTGACATACTTAGAAAATAAAACGAGAGATACACGACTGAAATAAAATAAGGAGAAAATTATTTTCTCCTTAACCCTAACACTCCACCTCCTTTCTCTTCTCTTTAGGTTATCGCAAATTTGCTCGGATTAGATTTTTATAGGAAATACTACATAAATAAAAACAAAGATGAAGCTAGCACTCTATCAATTTTGAGTACTTCTTTGTAGGTGCTTAGATCGCATGGATTATCAATAGAGGCTGGACACTTAGATAACTTTTCCGCTAAAGAATTTAGATCCGTGCTACAAGAGATAATTCTCCATTTATTGTTTTAATTCATGTATATAGTTAGTTGATTTAACGGCATGATCTTGGACCTTTTAGATGGGAGAAATTTTTTTGTTTATTTTGCACTTTCATAGGATGTATGATCTTTCATAAGCATGTTGGCTCAATCACTTAACAATTAAATTGGACTATCCAAATAAGTTCGGTTAGTTATTTTTAGGGAGACCCACATTAGAAAATAATTTCCTAAGTTATTCTTACATTTTATTAAGCTTAAATTAGGAAACTTATTTCTATTTTTGAAAACCGATTTCGAAAATAGAAAAACTGATTTTTATTTTAGGAAATTGATTTCTAAAATAGAAAGCTAATTTTCAAATAAGTAATTGACTTTCAAATTAGAAAACTAATTTCGAAATAAAAAACTTCTAGGTTAGGAAATTGATTTTCAAGATAGGAAAATGATTAGGGATGGCAATGGGGCGGGGTGGGGTGGGGATCGCCATCCCCATCCCCGCCCGCCCCTTAAAAATTCTCCATCCTCGCCCTGTGCCCCGAACGGGCGGAATTTGCCATCCCATCCCCGCCCAAATGGGGACGGGGATCCTCGCGGGGAGAACGAAGCCCCGTTTTACTATTTGTATCCGCCTCGCCCCACCCCATTTTGTCTCGTTTTGACAGATTTTATAATGATCACACACAATTTATATAATTTTATTTTTCAAGCAAGAGATCAAATCACATGAATTCTATAATAAGTCATTGTTGACGGGGCAAAACGGGGTGGGGTGGGCAAATACCATCCCCGTCCAAAAAAAGTACGAGGTGGGACGGGGCGGGACGGGCGGGGCGACCTCGGGTAGGGTCATTTTGTCATTCCTAAAAATCATTTCCCAAATAGGATTTTTTTTCTTCAAAATATTTGCTTCTCTTTTTTCTTGTGAATATTTAAACTTATGCGTGTAGCTTAATAAGCTCCTAGATATATTAACAATGCATCGAGAAGTAAAAGTCAATTTTTTTATCTCTTTATATAAATCAAGATTGGCTTCTAGCAAAACATCATAACAACCCAATTCTCTAGAAGGATTACTTAATCCATAGTAACTTCTTACGAGCATGATTTTCATACAATTTAGTCATCATGTCAATTTATCACGAGTATGATCTCAAACTTGGTTTGTTGTGTATTCGATTATGATCACATAAGTTTTCTTTGATCTCTAAATATCTTAGCTCTTAAGTAAACCAATCATGCTCTATTAGTATATTTTCATTGTGACCATAAATTCTTGAGCGGACATTCATCGAGTGCAATGTGATAACTCTTTTAGTGTATAAGGAATGATATGTCCTATCTCAATCATCTATCTATCTCTATTAGATTCCTATTGTACCTAACAAATCACCCATGTGCAACTCTTTACTAAGCCATTAAAACGAATTTCAAAGTACATCAATCCTCTAATGAGATAACCGTGATGAGTTTAAGCCAAAAGACTACTTGTATTAATATTGTATGAGATTTCCATAGACTATAGCAAATAAGTTCTCATGGCAAGTCATTTAGTGATATAAAATCGTCTATTACTATCTTATAGCAAGAGTATAGCACTCACATGTCTTATCATATGTTGTCAATGTCCAATCTTGGCAATGCTATAACTTGGGACATTTAATGATATCATTTATATGCATTGGTGTTTATTTTACATCTATTGATCAATTATCAATGCAATGTATATCATATAAAATTTTATCTAATTCAATCAAATTATAAATAACATGAATTAATAGAAAGACTTCTTTTATTACTATTGAAAATACAATAACACAATATATCAAACCATTTAAATAGGTTGGATCTTGAATACCTATACTAACGAGTTAAAAGATTATGTTTATACCATTCATCAATTATTATGATTCTTTCGGAAAAGAAATAAAAATTTACTATGATTCATCTATCGTTGTTCGAATAACTAGAGTAAGCACCATTGTTTGTATTTTAAAATTGATGACATATATCTTAAAAGTAGGTTTGTGGTGATAAAAAATATTGTTTCATCTTTTTATATATATATATGCCATTGAAGATTTTATCTGAGATAGTAAGAACAGTTTGTCCGATTTATTAAAGTTTAATTTTTGTTTTTAAAAATCTATCTACTCTTGTTTGTATGATATTTGACATGACGTCTTAATAGATTTAAAATTTTAATTTTTAAAATCCACTAAAAAATAACATGACTTGACATTAATCTAATACAATAAATAAAAAATTTAATTTTAATTAATATAAAAATTTCAACACACATGTGTGTGTGCGCGCAAATTGCATTTTATAAATTATAAAAAAAATAAAAATAAAAGAAGAAGAAAGAGGTAGGAGCACATGTACATGCAGCTCCGCTCTCCAAATTTTTCAAAAATAATAAAATAATAATTGTATACAAATACACGAGCTTAAAGCTGGAAGTTAATTGTAGGCGTAGCATATACTCATTGCATTTGCTTCGAGTAGGGAAAAGGCAAATATCTCTCCCTCTCTATAGCTACCATGGCCGATTCTAGTCAGCCGCTTCTCTCTCCAAGAGAGGACCAAAACCAAAATGATGAACAACTCCAGTTGCTTACCAGATCGATAACAAACAATTCCTTTGCCTCCTCCTTCGTTGCCGATGCCGATGACATCCCACCAATCAATGGTGTCCGCGATTTTTTCACAGAATTCGGCAAGGAGTCTATTAAGCTCTGGTACCTAGCCGGCCCTGCCATCTTCACTACCATATGCCAGTATTCCCTTGGCGCCATCACTCAAGTCTTTTCAGGCCATGTTGGCACTCTCGAACTTGCTGCCGTCTCCGTCGAGAATTCAGTCATCGCTGGCTTCTCCTTCGGTCTCATGGTATAGACCCAAGTTCCTATATATATATATATATATATATATACATATACCTACCTAGCAAATCTATCTATGTAATTAAGTTTAATTTGGTCATGCACTGATGGAATGGAATTCAATTAAAAATGATCAGCTTGGCATGGGGAGTGCGCTTGAAACATTATGTGGACAAGCTTTTGGAGCTGGACAGATTGATATGCTAGGAATTTATATGCAAAGATCATGGATCATACTCAATACCACAGCCGTATTACTTAGTCTGGTTTATATCTTCGCAGCTCCACTTTTGAAGCTTATAGGCCAAACTGCATCTATATCAAAGGCAGCAGGGATGTTCTCAATTTGGATGATACCACAATTATTCGCTTATGCGTTTAATTTTCCAATCGCAAAATTCTTGCAATCTCAGAGCAAAATCATGGTCATGGCTGTTATAGCGGCTATTGTCCTGATTTTGCACACAGTTTTTAGTTGGTTGTTGATGATAAAGTTGAAATGGGGTCTGGTGGGTGCAGCTGTGGTATTGAACGCATCTTGGTGGATCATAGACATAGCACAGTTTTTGTATATCATCAGTGGCACTTGTGGTCGCGCTTGGAATGGGTTCTCGTGGAAGGCCTTTCAAAATCTCTGGAGTTTCGTTAGGTTATCTCTTGCATCCGCAGTAATGCTTTGGTAAGTTGCCTTACTTTTACCACCTATATATTATTATTCTTATTCTTATTACTTTCTTAGTTACCTGATGAGAAATTTATTTACGTTTTATAGTAAATCTCTCAAATCAGAAACTAAGCACCCAAATTCCATCTGCGTAGAATGTAAGTAATTAATTTAGGTCAGCACTCTCCTCATTGCATTAATTAGGTAGGATGAAATTTTATAAAGTGAATTTTCAACAACTTCTTAAGACAACAAACGGTACTATTGGATATTGTTGAAAAGTTCAGACTTAAAACGGTTTCGGAAATGATCTATAGGATTACGTCATTACGTGGTACAACGTGATCATTAATTTACTAACTACTACATAGATTAATATACTCACCGTATCATGTAAAAATATCTCTTAATATGATAAACAAGATACTGATCCCTCGTTGTAAATTAAAAATGTCCCCATTCCATTTTTGTGAAATAAAATGATGAGAAACGGCTGGCTTTCTTTCAGCTGGTTGAAAACAGAGTGCAAATCCAGTAAATCACGACGCTCCCAGTTTCTGAGAAATCGACTTTTTTCGTGTTAGGTAGCAGGTAGGTAGCATTGGTTATTGAACCTTTTTTGGTTAATAATTAAGTACACAACCAAGCTGATGAAAACGTACCAAAAACTCTATCTTGTACTAAAAAAGATCGAACAGAGAAAGAAAGAGAGAAAAAAAGAAGCTAATTTAGATATGCAGCTGACACGTTCAGTAATGTGTCCTCACCACTTTTTTTTTTTTTTTTTAACCTTATTTGTCACGAAAGATTCGGTCAACTCTTTAACCTTAATTGATTGTGAATCGTTTTGCAGCTTAGAAATCTGGTATTTTATGGCATTGATACTCTTTGCTGGATATCTGAAGAATGCAGAAATTGCAGTGGATTCCTTGTCGATCTGGTCAGACTCTTATTAACATTACATTTTTCAATCATTAGTACATAGCAAGGATGCATCTATTTAGATCACTTCGCACCACATAAACTATCTTGCATTCACATTACTTTTCTTCTATAGTGCTGATTTTATTCAATATTCTTCTTCACAAAATAAAAAATTAATAAAAAGTCAATCATCCAATGATATGAATAGATCCCATTAATTAGTCGATCCTATACTATAAGTAGAATTTTATTTAGTCAACTTTTATGCAACATTAACCTTACTGATTAAGCAAAATGATATGTGACCTAGTTGCGATTAGTGTTTCTCTTCTCATCAATGTGTCTTGATCGGACTGTATTAGATTCTCTTCCAATAAATTTCTGTACTAGCCAAAGCCAAATGGAACTCCACCATGTCACTGTCTCCAGAGCACAAATGATACTTTCGCGCTCGGTTTAATTGCTCACCAAATAGATAAGACATTAATTGGGCCAGTATTTTGTTAACTAGTGGTTGGAAATAAAACCTATATATGCTCCTGCATGTCATTTTTGACTCATTTCTCATAACTACCCCGTTTTATCCCGATGACGAATATTTTGAAAAAAAAGATTGGTGAAGCAGGAAAATAATAGAACAGCAGGTAGAGCTAACAAAATATGAAGAAGAAAAGAATAGAACGTTCTTCTGAGCTAACATTCAACCAACAAATGATAAAACATAGGAGACATTCTGTGCATAGTACACTGAATACTGACGGTAGAAATGGACAGCATTAGTATCACTAATATATATATATATATATAATTTTAAGAGTTAATCATAACTCGGTCCCTATAATGTAATGAAACTAATTAATTAGTTTTTATGGTTTTAAAAAGGAGAGACATTTTTAAATTTATTTATGATTTAATACTTTCAACAATTTGGTGCTCTTTTCAAATTTATTTTTTATTTTTAAAAAAAAAAACTGTTAAATTGAGTATGTTGAACGTTAATCAATGAAATATTTAATTATTTTTAATAATATGTAGATTACTTCATTAGTTTTGATAAACGATTAGGGACTAAGTTATTAATTAACTCTAAATTTTTTAATAATAATAAAAAATTATAGGGACAAGATTTAATGCAATTTCAACTCATTGGTTGTTTACTCGCAATGAGGTTCCTTCCATGGTGTTCTTGAGAGCACCAATATGCACAACGTTTTATTATGGACTTTGAACAGCCATTTTGAAATGGTCAATGGATCAGGTAAATAAATAATAAACTAGAAAGTTTTGTTTTGGAAACTATATATATATATATATATATATATAGATAAACGCTACAAATTGCGACAAACTTTTAAGATCACCGGGTTTGAGTTTATCAAAGACATTATAGAATTTCCAACTTATTTTCTTCTTCATCACTCAAACGTACTTTTCAAACGAACTATCCAAATAAAGCTTTCTAGATACAGTACGAGTTTTGGTTTCTTGGGGATTGCTGCCCTCCAGATGGTTGTTGATTGAATACATTGTTTGTCCACATGGATTTTCTGAGCAGTGACTCCATTATTTAATTTATTTCTCTCTCTTCATTTATTGTTTCGGTGATTACAACTGCTAACCATCGGTCAGCAATTCCTCTGCTTCTCAGCAGTACCAAGAATAATAATAATAATGACATAAAAAATTAACTAGTCAACTTCTTCGGCTGCCATTCTTTCTTCACTTACTATTCAACAAGAGATGGCAAAACCAAAATCTGACAAGTCATGCAACCTTTTCTTGTCGTACTAGAGTTTATGAGTTGTGATGCTTTCGTCAAGTTCAAACAAAAACTTTTAACAAACTATACCCAAATATATATATATATTACGAGGGATTATTCAATTCTGCTTCTTTAAAGAAAAAAATAATAATTAAGGAGCTTAAGTGTACTAATTATTTCGTTTAGAGAACAAAACAAAGAATTAGAAATTTTTAATGTCCTTTTCCAAAAATTGTTGTAAGTTCCAGAGAGTGCATGACCGTATGTTTTAATCTACTTTTCCACATATGTCTTTATTAAGTGATTTAATCTAATAAGATTTTGATAGTATATTAAAATACTCCATTAGAGAGAGGTTGGATAGTTCTATTATCAAGTCAAAACAAACTGCAAATTGCCATTCGTTGGTTTTTTTTTTTTTTTTAATTATTATTATATATATAAGTGTTCGATAAACTGTTGAAAATTTGCAGCATGAACATTCTTGGCTGGACGGTCATGGTAGCCTTGGGAATGAATGCAGCTATAAGGTTTAATTCTGATCTCTACTACAGTGGATACATATATCAGGGAAAAAAAAAATTCTAATATTAATTTGTTTGTTAAATAATGTGTATGCAGTGTAAGAGTATCAAATGAACTGGGTGCTGCTCATCCGAGAACAGCAAAATTTTCACTAGTGGTGGCTATTATATCATCCTTTATAATTGGTCTCATTCTTGCAGCCATTCTTCTTATCTTCAGAGATACCTACCCATCTTTATTTTCAAATAGTTCACAAGTGCAAGAACTTGTTAAAGAGTTGACACCATTGCTGGCTTTTTGCATTGTTATTGACAACGTTCAGCCAGTTCTCTCCGGTAATTACTCACTCATTAACATTATGAAAATTGTAAATCTTTATCAGATTCAACCAAATTTTGACCAAATGGGTTGAGTTGATCGTGCCGGTCTAATTATAAATCCGGTTCAGATTAGGTCTCCGATCGACCAGCTGCCATGCCAAACTGGATTTGATAGCTATGGTTCGCCGTCATTATTTTTTTTTTTAATCTTTGTGTAATACTTTTATGTTTTATTTTAAGGTGTGGCTATTGGAGCTGGATGGCAGGCTACTGTGGCTTATGTAAACATCGGGTGTTACTATCTAATAGGGATTCCTTTGGGTCTCATATTGGGTTACAAAGTCGATTGGGGAGTAAAGGTTAGTATATTATTTTCTATACTCTTCCGATTCCAAGAAATCTGATAGTTCCATTAAACTTTATTGACAATTGATACTATCAATTAATAAAATTACAACAAAGACAAAATGGTTGGTAAAGATTCAACATCCTCACTATTCTGATTTTTTGGTCCTTTGTTTAGGGGATTTGGTATGGAATGATATTAGGGACTATCCTGCAGACTTTGATCCTCTCCTGGATAGTTTATAAAACAAATTGGAACAAAGAGGTATGTTTTTTACTCCAAGCTAATCTCTTACCCACAGCTTCAAGCATAATTACTTGCAGTCGTAATCAATGTTTAGTGTTTTTACCTATAATAATTTATTAAACTAGATCTTATTTTGGATGCAGGCTTCTATTGCTGAAGACAGAATAAGAAAATGGGGAGGGCAAACGGATTCCAAAGAAAAAAATATTGAAAGACATTCAGAGATCTGAAAATAAAAATATATTCCGATTTTGCCAACCTAATTAGATGAAGACAGCTCAATAAATTTATTCGTAAATTTTCATTTCTTGGTCGATGGGCAGATAGCCAATATCTTTCCATTACAAGAATAATGGTTGTAAACACCCATTCTCCCTTTTTGTGTTTTTTAAATGAGAGAACTTTTTGTTATTTGGATAAGAATCATTCGCATTGATTCTAAGACTATGAATTACACCTTAGTGGCAAAACCGGGAACAATTTTTAACCATAACAAATAGCTATAATTACTAGAAAAACCTTATAAAAAAATCTTCTATATAAAAAACTCACAAATTTATTTTTAAATCTTTCAAATTCAAAATAATATTTTTTCTTTTCAAAAGCACCTAATAATTAACACTAGTGTTAACTATTGGTTGTTTTGATAAGAAAAATATTGATTTAGGCTTATGAGATTTAAAAATATTATTTTTTGTTTGGGAGATTTAAAAATAAAATAACGAATTTTTTAAATTGAAGATTTTTTAGAAGGTATTTTGGTAATCATCCCTAGTTTAAATGAAACTATTATCTTTCAAGATATATATTTCTATCATAGATTATCATATTTTATTTAATTAATGCATTAAAATATGTTATACATCCATCTTGTAATTTAATTTAATTGTTTGATAAAAAATGTTGAATTTTGATTAATTAAAAACTAGTATTATCGATGATACTTTTTTTTCTCTATCAATATATTAGGATTTAAAAAATCACTAATGTTCATAATCATACATATTTATTTTTCGTATTTGTATGATAACCCATTGATTAAATTACGATAGAATGACAAGAGTCTCATTTCATCAAATATTAATTAGTTAAATTGCTTCAATTGCTATAGTTACTAGGTAGTAAAATTAATCTCATAATTAATGAAACAAATGATCGATGAAAAAAAAAACTCTAATATAAAGAATTTTTTAGTATAATAATAAAAAAGTAGTCAAATGTTAGTGTTTAAAGGTCAAGGAATCTCATTAAAAACTATGAAATGAGTTTATTATTAGATAAAAACTATTAAAAAATACTCTAAAAAAAATTATATCAAAAAAATTCATCAATTTATTTTTTATATCTCTCAAACCTAAAAATAAAAAAAATTCTTACCAAAAGACCCAATAGTTAACTAGTATTAAGTTAGAGGTTAACTATTGGATGTTTTGATAAGAAAAATATTACTTTGGGTTTGAGAGATTTAAGAATAAACTGATGAGTTTCTTGGATATAAGATTTTTTTAGAGAGTTTTTATGGTAATTATCCCTAAAAAATAAGATTACTTCACACTTTCTATATTTGCTAGAGCAAGTAAATAAAACCCTCAATTTATAAGCAATGGAATAGATGTATCAATTTTAGCAATTAATCAATAATTACTCCAATCTTAAAGAGAACATATAATTTGATTTTTCAAACACTTTAAAAAAGTTATTAATTTTTATGTTATATCAACTTTTTTTATATACTTTTTTAAAATCTTCTTTTTGTTAAAATTATTAGTTATCATATTTAATCTTACACTATATGAAATCAATATTAATTTAAAGAAAAAATATCTAAAATTAAGATAGTAAATCAAAAGAAAAATCATTAACGATCAAGTTTAAAGCAATTATGAAAAAATAAAATACTAAAGGAAAATTTTATACTACCAAAATTTCAGCAAGTGGTAAAGCTTCTACAAGAAAGAATATCTTTCATGTAACAAAAAATTTTCTTTTAAGATTTTTATGTTAAAAGTATCCGTATGTATAAGAAAACACTATAAAGAATATTGGTTTTTTTTCTTTTTAGTGAAGAAGATAAAATAAAATGAAAGAAGGAATTGGTTTTCTTTATCAATTAAAAATATTTTAGAAAAGTACATTATTTAAAACTTTGATTAGAAAAGTATTTTAAAAAAAATATAAATAGACATGAGAACAATCTCTTAGGAACAAAAGGAATAACTAAAACTAAATGCTAGTGTATTTTTGGAAATGAACTGTGCATCCACACAAGACTATTAATTCACTATTCACTTAGGCATAAAAAAAAAGTATTTATTCACTATGCAATAGCATTTTTTGAGTTTTTGGTTGGTTTAAGGTTTTATTTAACCAAGCCAAAATGATCTAGTTATCCTAAAAATATTTAAGTGATTTTTGTAATTATACTCATTTCAATTTCTAAAATTTTAAATTTATGTGATTTGGTCCTACATATAAAATGGTAAAGTCAATTATTTTCACATTTATTTTTATTCCAATCCTTTAACTTTAAACTTATCCAATATATTCTCGACAAATTAATTTTTTTTTTTTTTGATACTTTTCATTTTAGGTTGCAAAATCTTGAACTCATAGAATATAGTCATCACACACACACACACACACACACACATACAACCGCATGCACACCATGAGTTCTATTAAAAATTAATTATGCACCTCGTCAAAGAATCAATATGAAAAATTAAGCCTTTAACGATAAAAATATTTGTCTCTAAACATATATATTCCTTCATTAATTTGTTTTAGTGATGGAATAGGGATGAAACTCAACTGTAGGTAAAACACTAATCGCTATTTATTTAATGACGAAAATTACCATCCATCGTAAAATTAAGGACAAATAAGTTGTCGCTATAGTGAAGTGCTTTCGCGCTAATGTGATGAAATTCAGCGACATAAGATAACATCTCGTCATAAAATTAGCAACAAACTAGTTGTCGCTAGAGTTAAGTACTTTCATCGTTAATGTGATGAAATATATCAACTGCAATTTCGTCACTAATCTATCACCATTGGTCGATAATATACCGATGGATTATATAGTTGTCCGTCAATAATTGATATAATTTAATATTTTTTCCATTGTTAGTCAATCGTTGATCCGTCGCTAATAAAGAAAATATAATTTTTTAAAAAAATCTTTATTTGTGGTTGAATATTTAATTATAGTAGAAAATAACTAAAAATGAAATTATAACATGGAATATTATTATGTAAAATAAAAATAATATAAAATCAAATTAAATATCTACAAATGTAATTTAGTGTATGAAAATAATAAAAAAAAAACTACAAAAAAGAGTTGGTTTGGTCAAGGACATATAGGTGAGAGATCATCATCATCATTTGGAGACCGGTGGTATGGAGAGGAAAGGGTAGGTGAATGCGAGTCCGTATCTTCCATAACAGCTGCTACATCATGTACATCTACTCGCTCATGTCATTGTGCCACCTCTTGTTGCTCTTACCGGAGAAGTTGGTATTACGCTCGATATTCCTCCTTGATCTCATAGCTCTGCCGAGCCCAATCACTCTCTATTTCTCGCCGAAGCTACTATCAATACTACTCATCATCCTTCTCCATACCATCACGGAACCGTGATGTGATAGAGGATGAATGGGTGCTAGAATAAGAGTAATACTAAGACGTATATGATCCAAGCCTATACACTCTAGGTGCTAAACTCTGTAAGTGCCTACCATATATTTTTTTCGATAATAGCTCTTGAAATATAATAGGTACTAATCTCTCGCATAAGCACATAGTAGTTATGACTTTTCATGTCATATAATTTATGTATGTTCATATCCACACATCTAGCCATGTTTGACACATATTCATTAAAAAACTTGAGTTGTCTAATCTAGTCAAACAATCTTTCTTTCTTTTTTTTTTTTTTTTGTCTTTAGCATGAAATATGCTTTAGGGTAATTTTCTAAGACTTCATCTCTTGCTAATTTTGGCCTTTGATTAAAAATTTTCAAGTCTTCTCAAGAGTTGAAATTATATTTAGTTTTTCATGACACATTTATTACTGTGTTAAACACATTATCAAAAATAGTTTTTTTTTTTTTTAATATGCATTACATTCAAATTGTGCCAAATGAGATTAGTACTCTAATATAAAAAATTCCAAAATATACTTTGTTTCTTCCAACTAGACAAACAAATATTCTACTATTATATTTATTGGCTCATTATTCTATGACTTTCATTAACTCACAATTATTTATGCTCCAGAATCTATGTTCCAAGCTGAATTAAGGGAGCACTATCTAGCACAATTCTATTTTTTTATGAATGAGTTTTTATTCCTCCTAAATGGATGATCCGTAGGTAGAAACTTATGATAGTCATTAAACCACGATGTCTTTCTTCCATTAGAGAGGGTGAATGCATCGAATTCTCTCGTGTAATAGGACATGCTAATTTTTCTATAGTACTCCAATCGAATAATATTGAATATATAAGAAAGTCACCGATTATCCACATAATTGTAATGCACATTAGAAAATTCCGCTTTACAATATAATCGGCACACTTACTTCTCACAAGTGAGCCAACTCGCAATTAAGGGTTGTAATAAAACATCCTACATATTCCTTGGATTTCCTAGTCCTAGAACAATTATAGTTAAGAACATATATATTTTTTTTTCATACACATCTATGATGACAAATTATACGGCATGACAATTACCAACTATGAAGAATATTATGCATTAGATTGATCGAAAAGTTAAAATCCATCAATACAAACTCTCAATATGATATTCCTTTTCTTTTTATGGAAAAGAAAGATGTAAGAGATGAAAATGCTATTATGCAATAGAGTCGGATTGAAGGAAGTAAAACTGATTCGAGGAAGAGAGTCCTAATATTCTCATGATGCTTGGGTAACTTTCGAATTTATTTGAATTGTTTTAAATGATAAATGAATGTGAAATGCTATATTATG